AATATGCATTCTTTCTTTTTGCATCATTGCTGAATGGTAGAGGTCAGGGCCGTAGTTCTGGTCTCTGTTGTGAACCTGCACATCACTCTAGTCCTGAAACTACCTGTGAGCTGTGTCTGAGAGTAGCTGATTTTCTGACATGCAAAATGATGTATACTGGTACAAGAACAAGGTCAAGTCCCAAGAAAGTAAGTGGCTGCAGGCATTTCTAGTGCCTACTGAATCATATTTAAACCAAATAGAGGGGAGGAAGTTAATTTGAAATTATAAACCGACTGTACTATCTGTATGGTGTATTATTAATGTAGCTTTTTGAAGTGACATGAAGCCTTGAAATGACATAACTTAATACTTGAAAATATATTGTAAATGTTTCTTTGTAATTATGTGCCATCCAGATAAGAATACAATATCATAATAAAATCAGACTTGTTGATCTTTCAGTTTATGGGCTCAAATGTTTTTTCATCCTTTTCTTCTCATTAATGCCTTGCTTTAATTGAGTGGTTCATGACACAGAATAGGAAACCAGAAAGGGGAAGATGCCGTTGCTGCTATCTGTGTGGGTCATCTGTTGGGAAACAAAATGGAGCAGGAGAAATCTTCTTACTCATCTGTCTTTCACGTTAAGTTTGTGGTGAGGACAAAACGAAGGCTTTATTCCCTGAACTAAAGTTGTACTTCTGAGAATCACCACTCCTTCTGTTTTACACTTGTTTTTCTTAATATTTTATTAATGTGGATATGTTTGATCAATAAACCACGGAGGAGTAGAACACTTAGGTAAAAGCTTCCGTGGTCTATCGGCATCTTCCTCCTTTCTGTCCCATTTTTGGCTTCTGAAGTTTGATGACTGGTTAATAATACGCTGTTAAGCCATAATCTTGCCTCGGATTGTTATTTCCACACTATAAACTCTGGAGCGAGTGTTAACAAAATGTTTGAGGGTGCTGAAAGGACAGAGCGTTTTTAAAGCTCCAGAGTGAGCTGTGCACTGCAGTCTTTGATTTCTGTTAATGGTAAATGCTTTATTTGTAGAGCGCAGTTTAAAATAGAGTCCTGGCTTTCTGGCATCCCGGCATTCTAGTGAACGTGATCTGCAGCTTGATAAAAAGAAACATTTCACCAAAAAAATTGCTTAAAATTTTAATGGCACGCTGGCATGCTCTGCCTTTTTGGCCTCCAGTTGTAGAAAATACCCTGTTCAGCACTGAAAGTTGTGTGTTAAACTGTACATACTGCAGAACCAAGTGCTATCCGTGTTTAACTGCTATGCCACCCCTATTTTCTAGTGTTTCTCCACCCCACAGCCCTTTGAAGACTATTCAGCATTTAAGTACGAAACAATTTCACGCTCAGTGCTCTGTTAGTCCTTTACAGTTTGATTCCAGTGCTGTGACTCTTAGTAGCATTCGGAATTAACTTCTCTTTCCTCTGAAGAGCTGAGCGTGTGAGAGGCAAAAACAGATCAGTGTTTCTGCATCTCTGTCTGTCCAGAGAGATGACACCAAAGTAAACGTAGGGAACCATATTCCAACACTTGGCATCTCTTGGTACTTTCAGATGATCAGATTTCTCACGCCACTTGTCAAAACCATAACCAGTTTTCCCTTGTGAAACGCAGGTATCTTTTGCAAAACAAAAGGCCTTTTGTAAATTTACTGATTTTTAAAAACTTAGTGTTTTCTGGAGCTTGTATTTCAAGAAGTGTTCTGCTAAAACCAACAATACCTTGTTTATAGGCTTGTGTTTGCTATCAGGCTGTGTGTCAGGGATATTTTTGGTATGGGGGTTGTTCAAATGGGCTCTGCGTTTAAAGAACACCCTGTGTAAAACTGTACATTGACAGTAGCTGATTCTACAGTTTTTCATCCCATTTCAGTGGGATACGTAGATTTGAAGAAATAATTGTGTCTCTGCTCGCTAGGATGCCGGGAGCTGGACCAGGGCAGGTACGGGGGAGATAAGGGGATTGTTTTCAGGGGGCTGTGGAATAATTGTAATGTTGAGATTCAGCATCAGAAAATGATACCTACAGAAGATTAAGTTAGTGCTTTTTTAGTATTTCTGTTGATTCTTATCTACAGCCAGTCTCTCAGCATTCTCTTGGCAGTAGTTCAGACTTGGAGTAGTCAGAAGTCCGTCACTATAGATTATATATTAGAATCATAGAATGGTTTGGGTTGGAAGGGACCTTAAAGATCATCTGGTTTCAATCCCCCTGCCATCAGCAGGGACACCTTCCACTAGACCAGGTTGCTCAAAGCCTCATCCAGCCTGACCTTAAACACTTCCAGGGAGGGGGCATCCACAACTTCCTTGGGCAACCTGTTCCAGTGTCTCACCACCCTCACAGTGAAAAACTTCTTCCTAATATCTCATCTAAACCTCCCCTCTTAGACACGTGCATTCTCAGAACGCCAAACAAGCTCTTGCTGTGATACATCGTCTGTGACTGGCTTCTTTCTACGATTCCACTTGTTTCTAGTATCAGTAGAAGAAAGGATACAGCTAAAACCTGTTCTAACTCAACTTTCAAACAGGGAGGCAGCGTTTGCAAGCAGTTGGTTACAGCTGGTAGGAAGCCAAGAGCTGGTAAACGCTCATCCTTTGACTTCTTGAGAGTGGTACAAGGTACGTTGTCCCCCACGTATGAAATGGGGAACAGAAGGAGTGTTTCCAGATCTCCGTGAGCGCTCTCCTTCACGCTGCATGCGTGCTGGTGTCTTAGTGTC